ATCGATAAACTCTGCAACGTGCAGTTAGACTCTAAGATTCTGCGGTCAAAATCATCATAATGAATTTCGAGGAAAACAATTCGACGATTGCTGTGGAAATCGAACGAGTCATCGATGCTTGCGTCATAAATGTCGTAATAATATAAATTTTTTAGAGTCAGACTACGGGGAAAGATCGTACGACATTCGTCATCGTCATGTAAATATTAACTTGGCGATAGACACGCCAAGATATTTTATCTCATACAAGATAGATAGGTTATTAAATATCTGAAGTGTCCTCGGGCTATTTCTTTCTACCAATGCAGTGAGAAAATGATGAATAATATTCAAGTGAATATATCAAACTTTAGATCAAACGAAGCTGTAAACATGACTTGAGAAAGAAAATCTTATCTCTATCTGATTATTTATGGAATAATAAATTCGTGCGTTTATTTTAATCCAGTTGAAATTGATTGTATTAATAATTCGATTAAAAGCTTAAAAGATGTTTATAAAATATATCTTGAAAATTTAAATATTTAAATATTTAAATATTTAGATTTTACGATATTCTTCAGATATTTATTATTCGATGTGTACATTTTTAAAAAAGTTAGCTACTATTCTGTATAGATTTATAATTATCATATATATCTTTGGACTCTCATCATGCATAATATTTTTCGCGACGAAAAAAAAAACAAGAATCCAAAAAACGTTTAAAATACATCTTAAATATTTAAAGATATTATAGATTATTTTTTTCTTTGTTATTTAAATACCTACGTTCTACAAAAGTCTGTACTGTCACTTTGATCAGATTGAATTATGTTATATATGGATTTTCGGCATACATGACATTCAGACGTACTTTGCGATGAGAAATACAAGAATTCAAAGAATATCTAAATTTAAAGATTGTTTAAAAGATATTATATTTTCGATGTTTTTTATATCTTATGTTCTAAAATAGCACTGTCATTCTGATTATAGATTTAATTGTCCTAAGTGTATATGAACTTCAACATGCATGAGATTCTTCGCGATGAGAAAACCAATAAAGAATCTAACAGACATCTATAAAATACATCTTAAATATTTAAAGATTGTTTAAAACATTTTATGATACTCTTTATGATGATGTTTGTGTTACGAATACGTTCTAAAAAAGTCTATGCTATCATCCTGATTAGATTTAATTATACTATTGTATGAGCTCTCGGCATGCATGACGTTTTTCGTGATGAGAAACATTGTGGTGGAATATTGGTAAGCTCGCGTGTGTCGCGGTTTGCAGAATTATTTCGCAAACCGTGCCGTTATAAATCAACTCCGGTTTAATGGAGTCTATTATGTAACACGCCAAAATAACACACGAAACACTTGAGCGCCGGTTGTGCTAATGGAAACACGTTCGCACGACATCGCACGCAACCGAAGCCACGCACAAGGAGACCATCCGTCCAATCTGCATCGTTAATTATTAGCTACGTAATAACATCTGCGTTGATATCTCATACCGTTTCGGATCCACAGCATCGAGTCAACAACGGGCGTTCGTACGCGTAGCCGGATTAAATGTCCGCGTTGTTTGTGTTGTCAACGTTATGTAAATTAATATTTAGCACGTTGAGCTCGACTTCGGTCGAGCAAATTTTCTCTTTTTCTTTGTAAGCAATTTTACATCTATGCGGGTAATAATCAAAAGAAGGATTGCCGAATCAGTTAGTCGGGCTTGCTTAACTTGATTTGCTGGCGCAATCGGGTCCGTGTTGTCGCAACTGCGAGCGATTCTGTTGTATTCAGAGACCGAAAATCGAGCGTCATGCTTCTGAATTTATGTACACGTATCTTATACCAGAGATCTTATTCTCAAAAAATATCGCATATGAAATACTAGGAAAATTTATAATATACGTGATGAATATTATAGTATTTTCGTACATTTTCATGTGATGTTTTTTCAAAAATACAAAATATCACTGGGGGATATCCTGTAATCAATCATGTTTCAAAATTTTTTGTATGTATGTACATATGTACATACAAAACATTTTTATTTTTCACGTTTCCGCTCTAAAGAAAAAGTTACATGATGGATAAATAATAAAGTTGTTAAATAATAAAGTTGCTTCCGATCGTATTCGATTAATCATAATTTCATTAAATTAGTATACGTATCGCTATATCGCTGTGAAGTTGGCCTCACATTATCAAAATTTAGAAAGAATAAGCAGTCTGGTTAGAATTTTAATCCTCAATTACTGTTATGAATATTATACCTAATTGCTAAAAGTACTATTTGAAATACAGAATAAATAACAATAAATAAAGGACAAAGAGTCAAACACATTTTAAATTGTGACACAATTAAATAAAATAAATTACAAATAAAGAAAAATAAAAATAAAGAAGAGACATTTGATTGTCCAATCGTATGCGAATAATGTTGAGTTCTACATCAAGATTCATTCGAGCTGTTATTATAAGAAATATGCGAGCATTTTCGATAACTAATTTTGTACAGTGATCTTTGTGATAAAAATTTCTAAAGAAGCTCAATTCGATAGCCGAAACTTGTTTTATATTTGAATTTAAACTGTGTTTTCTTTATTTTTATTTGTAATTTATTTTATTTAATTGTGTCACAATTTAAAATGTGTTTAACTTTTACTTTGACCTTTATTTATTGTTATTTATTTTGTATATAAATTATTAAATGAAATACAGAATGCAAATTTTCTTACAACGATTGATAGAGGAAAGCTAAAAATTTTTTTAATCTACAATTCAAAGTATCAATATTTACAATTTCACAGTATTAATCGTACAGATACAACCATTTAACATTTTCACTTCGGATCCAAATTACTTGTTGCTGTAATCATTAATGTCCAGCGATCATATAACTTTTTCCTAAGGAAGAAACGTGAAAAGTGAAAAATTGAAGATGATGGAGCTTTTTACCTAAGTTTATGCCCTAAGGAAAAAAGTTTTTCTTTTACCCTTTAAATAGTTATTGTCAAGTTCAGTTTTGGTTAGCGATCGAACTTTCTTTTAAGACGAAACTGTGAAAATTTTTGTAATTACCTTCAATGATAAAAATTTCTACTTTTCCAGTTTTCGTTTTAGAAGAAAAAATACGTGCTATCCTGTATTAATTTAAAATGATCTTAAATATATAGCATAGAGCACTTCAGCAATATTGCAATGTTACTGCAATATTGTTGGATTGCTGCAAGATCTGTTCATGTTACTCGAAGTCTCAACAAATTTTTGCATTTAAAATGAGATAAACATATACATATTCGGGTATTGAAGAGAGAGAGAGAGAGAGAGAGAGAAAGAAAGCGAAGAGGCGATGAATGTAACTAACGCTACAATAGGTCTGTTCTTTTTAACCGAATTTCTTGCATGTTTTATATTTTATCTTTTTTTTCACATTGAAGAGAAAAGAAAAAAAAGTAAATTGTACACACAAAAAATTCGTTTAAAAAGAACCTAATGTTCAATAATAATAATAATAATAATAATAATAATAATAGTAATAGTAACACTTGCATGCACTTAAAAATTGAGTTTAAACAATATATAAAGTTACAAAGAAAGAAAGAAGAATGTCGTTTTTATCATAACATAAATTTTTCAAACGTGTTAATTGACTGCAAGATAGAAAGGATCTCTCTATCCTATACTTAGCTATTCAACAGGCTTAAAAAATTTCTCGTACAACACACAATATTAAAATCAAAAATATGAATATCGTTCAGAAACATCTCATTCATCACGTGGCGATATAAAAAAATCAATCACTCAATTAATTCGCCGTAAAACTTTTCTACATTACTTTCCACGAGTATGTCCGGTCGAGAGGAAACGTCGCCGCGTGACAAAAAATTCGAGATAAAATAAAGGCGGAGATAAAACAGAGGTTTACAGCGTCGTCTGCGCTTTTGTCGCCACACGCCTACGGCGCCAGACACCCTCAGGCGCCGTACAATCGCATTTATACTTCTCGTGGACCAATCGTACTAACCGGGATTCTCGACGAGACGGACGAACGAATTAAGAGCGGATTTGGGTCAGACGGCGACGCGGAGGGCGCAGCACGGTAGCCGCCGCTAAGACGAGAATTGCGTACGATCTCTCGACGTTTACGATCTCTTCCCGGAACGTAGACACGCTCACTCGCCCGTCCACCCGCTTCGACCGCCGGCGTAGTACGCCTTTCTAAACTCTCGCGTGCGATTTTCACGGATCTGTCTTCTTCTTTAATTCTTACCGTCTCTTACTGTCTCTCCCTGCCTTTAGAGATGGGGGTAGAGATTTGCTCGCGTCGCATGTTCCAACGTGCTCCAACGTGCTCCTGTTGTAGCTCACTTCAACGAGCGAGTTAGAGTGAATAAATGCTATAATAGGAGTATTTTAGAGCATGCCAGAGCATGCGACGCAAACAAACCTTAGCTTTTTAAGCCATAAGGAATGGACGAATCACAATTAATTATTCTCTTCGCATTCGATTGTAATTTGTCAATTTCTTACTGCTTGTGGCTTAAAACACCTATTGTAGATCTGGACTAACACAGACTCTTGAGTCACCAAATTTTGGAATGTTAACCTTAAATTATCGGGACCACTCTCGCGTTTATATAAATATAAATTTTATATCAATTTATGTTATATGATAAATCGGGATAAATGATATTCCTTCGGAATGCTTCTATAGAGAGCCAAAAATCAAAATTAATGTGTCATCAAAATTCGGGATGATTAATCATCCTGTTCGGAGGTCAATACGGCTTCGTAGATCTGTCGTCCCATCAAGTGCAATCAAGGTTGCTGGGCATTGCGTTTCACGTATGATGCGCATGACGTATTATTTTATCCTTTAATATTCAGTCATGTATCATTTTATCCTTCAATATTCAGTAAACAACGAGGACAAACGATACATCATGCGTATCATACGTGCAACGCACTGCTGGCTGTCCGAGTTTCCGAGTATCTTGACTTACCTTGCGAGAGAGGTTTCCTGGCGTCGAGTAATCCACAGACGGACGATCCAATGATCCTCACTGCGGAAACGCGATGCGACGGGAAGTTATGGCGGGCGGGCGGCTGGCCGGTTCACCGGGTTCGTGCGCTTGTCAAAACCAACTTATCGATCGCACTTGAATCCGGCGGTGCAGGAAGCGCGGAACGACGACGAAGCGCACGATCTCTCGCCGCACCGATGGAATCGAGTATCACTGCCGCTGGCGTTGTGTTAGTCCGCAGAATCCGAGGCGCATGAGAGATCAGGAACGCTCTCCGTCAGCGCGAGCGCAGAAGAGAGAGAAAGAGAGAGAGGCAAAGAGATAGTGGAAGAGAGAGACAGGAGCGCGGAGAGACGAATCGAAAGAACCGACCGAGCCGGTTTACCGTGAGGAACTGAGCGAGCAGGGTTGTTTGGTTCGCGGCCGTGACTTCGGTCGTTTACGCCGCGGCTCGGCGAGACTCGTCACTACTCGGCGTTTACGGCCGGCGGGTGAGTGTAGGCCGCGTTCGGGTCGCCTCGGCTATCTTCGGGCCGCCTCGTACGCGGCAACCTCGACGAACTTTTGTACGGGTCGAGGCCGAACGAGGACTTCGAGGAGATGGTTCAGATGGCGGTGGGAAGGTGAAAAGGGAAGAGGAGGAGGATGAGGCTTCCCGCGGTGGCTTCCCGTTTTCTTACGGCCGTTACATACCTATCTTCTCATCCTCGACCTATCTCGTTAACTCCGTAACAATTCGTCACTTTCTGTTCCTCGCTAAATGAAGCCGAACGGCCGTCATTGTTGGCCGCGGCGGCAAGCAGACTTCACGGTGGATCGCGTCAATCGCCATCGTCGGAACGTAGGACTTTGAAGATTCTTTGTTGGAGATCTCCAGAGCATGGTAACCCCGCGCGAAAATATATACGGTACGATACCTTCGTTCATGCATGTACGATGTATATGTTCCGCGAGAGTGGAACAAGGAACGCGAAGCCGAAGACGGGAAGATAATCTCGTGTTACGCTTGAAAGTCCCGTGTAAGATCCGAATCGGTTGATAAACGCGTATTCATCATCCGTCGCCTCGCGACACTATAAAAAAATATATCAAACCATATTCATATCCTTCATTATACTAATATGGCTATGCGTCGCTGGAATTTATTAAAGTGGACGAAGTAAACACAGTTACATCGTTTCTCTTTTCGATCGATATTGTTGAAGATAGTCTTAAAAACAAAGAAAATAATTTTTTTATTATTTCAGCTTTTGCCAAGAAGGACTTGTTTACAATTTCTATACACATTTATATCTTCTAATTAGTAACTGTCTAAGTATTGCTATTCTCTAAATTATACCTAAATTTATATTTATTTAGAGCCGATGATATCAGTATAAAATGTATGGAGCTTTCCGTATACACACCTACTTGTAATATCCAAGGTGTGGAACTTCACATCTTGTCAAACGTTAAAGTGTTACTTAGATTAAAATTTTTAGGAAAATTAAATTCACAGCCTCAATTAAATTCACAAAAATGTGATATTTAATTGAGGTTTTTTTTTGTTAACAAATGACACTGCATTGCTTCAAGGATATAATACTATTTTTATAAAACAATCCCAAGATCTCGTATCTAAGTACATAATTCGCGTTCTTTTACACGTTTGAATAGAACGATCTCTGTGTTGTCTTTGAATAAAAAAATCATTTTTTTAATCTAAAACCTAAGATGTTTAAAATGTTATTTTTGATCAACAATACTTTAAAAACGCTTAAATGTTCACCAAGACATTGTCGAGAATTTAAATACGAAAGAGTTCATTAATAATTTTATTTAAAAAATAATATTAGAGTAGCTATTTTTGCCATGTAGAAATTAAAAGAACATGATTCAAGGGATTGAGAAAAAGGTTGAGCAATTTAATTAGGTAATATATAAGGGTAACTTTAGTTGGTTTATTCTCTTGTCTATTTTACTCTATATATATTATATATTATGTAAAGGTTTGTGCTTCGCCCTTAATTTTGATAATCGTGAGTGATAATCGTAGAATCACTGTCCAGAGGATTAATTGCTAATTCTTCAATGTACAGGATTTTTATTTACAATATTAGATTAATTAGTATTCTGTTTTTCCCGTAATTCTATTCGAGGAATATTCTTATATCTATAATTAACTCTTAGTATACACAATTGGGTCATTCATGTTTTTCACATTTCTTTTCTTCGAAAAACTAAGAGCATCAAGTAATTAGTTATAATATATATTATATTTATATACAATTTTTTAAATACACAACCTTATAAATATTTTTTAAAGATGTATATGTAAATATATGTAAGAATTATTTAATAATTTTCTCATTTAATTTATATATGTTAAAGAGATGAAAATTAATCCGGAACACAAATGACTTATTGTATATTATAGTATAAAGGATAAGAAAATCGTGTGTATTAAGGATTAAAAATAAATAATTGTAGGGCAGAAGATATTTCGTGTTCGCAAACAGCACGATCGACAACATCGATATCTTATTCGTGTTCTTCAGCTGTACGCGGCTTGTACTTTAAATTACGACTAGGAAGATGGTCGCCGCATTCTCTTCGTCCGTTTTCTCTCTCCTCTATCTAAATCCTTTGTTTCAGATCCCGGCTCTCGTCCTTTCCTAGACGCGACACGTGCGTTTCTCCCTTCCTTCGCCAGACTGGAAATGAGAACATCGAAGGCGAGGCTTGTTTCGCCGTCTTTAGACGAATGGAAAACGTAAGGATCGAAGGAATTCGGTTGAGTAATTGAGGTAGGCCATTGCTTGCTTTTAAGAAAGAATAGAGGATACTCGAGCGAAAGAATCCAAACGCTAATGAACTCTTTTATATATCAAAAGTGATGATAAAAGAAATTAGGAAATGTCAAATCTCAAGTAAATAATTTTCTTTATCGTCTCATACGTATAAACCTAGATATATTTTGTCACATAATGTATTCATTATTTCCTATATTGAGAAAAAAATTGTTTTGTTTGACTAAATTAATTCAGTTTGTCTTTATTTTTTTTTTATGAAGAATGTATATATTTAAGTCAAACATATTATATGACTTTCATACAGTCTCTCCAACGAAAGAAATAGACACTAAATTAATTTAGTCGAATGAACAATTGTTTTTCTCAGTGTAAGTATGCTAATAATGTGCTGATAATTGCTAAGTATTGCTAAGAAACATTGACGTTAGCAATAGATCACGCCATGGCGATAACCCGCAAATTCTTTGGCACCTCTGAAGAAAAATACCAGTGAAAGCCTTAAAAGTATTATTAAGTATGCTTAACAATATGATTTTTTTTTACATATTATTTTAAAGCATAATTCTTTAAGCTGAGAGAATTTAATTAAAATTTTATCATCAAAGAATTTTCTTGTATTCAAGGACACTATCTAATAGTCTGATGTGTTAATTGCGTGCTAATGAGTAAGTTTAAAATATGCTGGAGTATTATTATATTATTTTTTTGAGAATATAAAAAAATTAATTGATAACAATTACGTATTGATGAATTTGAAAAATCTACTAAATTGATTAAACCAAGATATAAAAAATCTCAACGGTATTTCAATTATTATTCTAAAATGAAGTGATAAAATTAAAGAATGGCGCAATATTATGTATTTGAAATCACAATGAAAAAAATAGAATTTATTTTAGTCTTCCTAATCATATTCATCTTTACGTTTCTTTTTATCGAATTATTCTTGCTGACCCATCACAGGTCTCGTTCACAGTTCAATACGTGTTGAATATATTTAGCATTCCAAGCACTTGCTCTCGTCACACCTCGCATTTTGATTTCGAGAAAAAATAGGTGCTGTAACGAGTGCCGGTCTATGGCAGACTACGCAGTTTGCATAACGATTTGCCATGTGCGCTTTGTTTTCGAAACTGAAACTTTCTACCGATTTTGTATTTACGCGACGAATACGCGCGTTCGCCGGACCACCACGAAAAATTTCACTAGATCCGATAAGAAGAAAGAAGAGCACAAACGAAAGTGATCTTTCAACTTCCGTTGGCGATCCCTTATTCCTATTCCCATCGCGTTGCTCGACGAAAGCGATACTGTAAACACATTCTCCGTTTCTCGGCAAGCGGTCGCAGAATTTGCTTATTCACGAAGTAACAGTCATGCAACGGATGACCTTATCACTTTTCACTAAAAAAAACCCATGATGTAATCCACGGTGACATAGAAAGTGCCGAAAAGTATCTCAATTCTCTAAATTTTCTGAAGTGAAATCTCATACTAACGAGTGAACATTATTGAATCAATCTTGAAAAGGAGCGACTCAATGTTCAAACTTCAAGATTAATATTTCATTCTTCAGAGAGATTTACTCTAAAAGTTTAAGAGAAGACGCATGATTCCGTTTTACCGTCCTCGCGATCTTTGTGCATCTCGTGGAACATTCACTGCATCACGCAGAGGAGATCTGCAGCTGAGGTTTAAATTGCAAAAACAAGGTATTGTGCAGAGTAACGATCATGCATGGGCGTTTACGAGCACAATGCCGTAATAACGTCTCCCGTGTGCGCCCCTTCTCGCCTACTAATCCAAATCTCGAAACGCGACATTCTCGGATGAGTTCCACCTGCGTTGATGTATGCGCGCGATGGATTAGTCACGCGGCCTCCGAGAGTGCGAGTCGAAATAGAACGCTTAGTCAGACGTCACCAGGAACTGCATCGGGGGAGTCACCGGCCCACTGCGGCCGCAGCCGCCTAAGCCTTACTTTGTTACGCTTTATGTGCCCGATGCTATTCGGCATCTCGCAGTGATCTACAGCAGTGATCTGCACTGGGGAAAATGTCTGGTTGGATTAATTTTAATTCTGCTTGAAAATAGATGAATCAGAACTTTTTTATTAACTCTACTAGAATTCTGTTTGACTGAGGAATTTTAACTGCTGTTTTAAGATGCTTTCCAGCAAGAGACATAGATAACAGTATAACACTGTGAATCATTCCATCTTTATTGTTTGCCAATGTTAAATAAAGATGAAATGATCACTATATTACATTGTGTCTTTTGTTGGAAAATATCATTTATCTATTAGAATCTGGTTCGTCCATTTTCAATTAGATACTTTTCTCATTGTACTGATATGTTCGTGAGGTTGATTGTAGATTGAATAATCGTCAAAATGTTTTAATATTATGAAATATTTTTTTAATAAAAAATACTTTTTGATTATATCGCGTTGAGGAAAATGCTTATTCAATATTTTAACGATTTATAGTAATAGGCCTGTTCTTTTTAGCTGAACTTTTGTACCAGTTCATCTTTCTCCCTTTTTTCTTCAGGAGAAAAGAAGAAGAAGAAAAAAGATGTACTGATGCA